GGGGGGGGGACCTGGTCTGGGCACCCCCAGTGCCTGTACGGGGGAGAGGAGGGGGCTGGGGGGGTTCTACTGGGGTCAGGCCTATAGGACCGGGCCATATGGGGCCTATCGGGCCTGTCCCTGATCCCGTATGGACCCCCCCGTGGGGCTGGACCGGGCGCTATGGGGCCCTGGGGGGGGGGTGACTGGGCACCAGCATCCCCCCATGTCCGTGGGTGAGAATGGACTGGGATGGGGGGGTTATACTGGGGTCAGCCCTATAGGACCGGGCCATATGGGGCGTATCGGGCCCGTCCCTGATCCCGTATGGACCCCCCACCCCATGGGGGGGGTGACTGGGCACCAGCATCCCCCCGTGTCCATGTGGGAACGGACTGGGATGGGGGGGGTTATACTGGGGTCAGACCTATAGGACCGGGCCATATGGGGCCTATCGGGCCTGTCCCTGATCCCCTATGGACCCCCCCGTGGGGCTGGACCGGGCGCTATGGGGCATCCCAGCCCCATCTCCCCACAGGTCCCCCCAGGGGCTGTGCCCCCCCGGTCCATAGGGGATGTGGGGTGGCCTGGGCCGTACGGGATATGGACCGGTGTCCCCCCCCCAGCACCCCCCAAGGTGACGCTGCGCCCCACGCCGCTGGTGGTGGCCCCGGGGGCGGTGGCCGAGCTGCGCTGCGAGACCTCGGCCTACTTCCCCCTGGACGTGGGGGTGCGGTGGCAGCGCCGGGCCGGCCCCTCGGGGCCACCGCTGGCCCTGGAGGACACCGTCACCCAGACCTGGACCTCGGGCCACCGCCAGGGCCCCGACGGCACCTTCAGCCGCAGCAGCGGAGCTCGCCTGGTCCCCGCCCAGCCCCACCACCACGGGGACATCTACACCTGCCTGGTGACCCACGCCGCTCTGGCCACCCCACGGCGCGTCCACGTCCGGCTGGAGGTGGCCGGTGAGTGGGGATGGACTTGGGGGGACATCGTGGTGCTGAGGGGTGCTGGGCTTGGGGACACCAAGGGACATCAAGATCATGGTTGGAAGGTCCAAGGGACATCAGGGCTATGGTTGGGGACACCAGGACTGTGGTTGGGGACACCAAGAGACATCAAGATCATGGTTGGAAGATGTAAGGGACATCAGGGCTGTGGTTGGGGACACTAGGACTGCGGTTGGGGACACCAAGGGACATCAAGATCGTGGTTGGAAGCTCTAAGGGACACCAGGCCTGTGGTTGGGGACACCAAGAGACATCAAGATCATGGTTGGAAGATGTAAGGGACATCAGGGCTGTGGTTGGGGACACTAGGACTGCGGTTGGGGACACCAAGGGACATCAAGATCGTGGTTGGAAGCTCTAAGGGACACCAGGCCTGTGGTTGGGGACACCAAGGGACATCAAGATCATGGTTGGAAGGTCTAAGGGACATCAGGGCTATGGTTGGGGACACTAGGACTGCGGTTGGGGACACCAAGGGACACTGTGGACATGGTTGGAAGGTCTAAGGGACACCAGGCCTGTGGTTGGGGACACCAAGGGACATCAAGATCATGGTTGGAAGGTCCAAGGGACACCAGGACTATGGTTGGGGACACCAGGACTGTGGTTGGGGACACCAAGGGACATCAAGATCATGCATGGGAGGGTCTAAGGGACATCAGGGCTATGGTTGGGGACACCAGGACTGTGGTTGGGGACACCAAGGGACACTGTGGACATGGTTGGAAGGTCTAAGGGACACCAGGCCTGTGGTTGGGGACACCAAGGGACATCAAGATCATGGTTGGAAGGTCCAAGGGACACCAGGACTGTGGTTGGGGACACCAGGACTGTGGTTGGGGACACCAAGGGACATCAAGATCATGCATGGGAGGGTCTAAGGGACATCAGGGCTATGGTTGGGGACACCAGGACTGTGGTTGGGGACACCAAGGGACATCAAGATTATGGTTGGAAGGTCTAAGGGACACCAAGACTATGGTTGGGGACACCAAGGGACATCAAGATCATGGATGGGAGGGTCTAAGGGACATCAGGGCTATGGTTGGGGACACCAGGACTATGGTTGGGGACACCAAGGGACACTGTGGACATGGTTGGAAGGTCTAAGGGACACCAGGCCTGTGGTTGGGGACACCAAGGGACATCAAGATCATGGTTGGAAGATCTAAGGGACACCAGGCCTGTGGTTGGGGACATCAAGGGCCACCAGAAGAAGGGTTGGGGCCACCAAGGGATGCCGGGATTGGAGGTGGGGACACCAGGACGAGGGTTGGGGCCACCAAGGCCGGTGGCTGAGGTGTCCCCTGTCCTCGCAGGCGCGGAGGGGCCAGGCCTGGAGGACGCCGTGGGGCTCTTCCTGGTGGCCTTTGTCCTCTGCGGGCTCTGGCGCTGGCTCCGCCCCCCCTGTGAGTAGTGTCCCCAACTGTCCCCGTGTCCCCACTGTCCCCGTGTCCCCAACTGTCCCCATGTCCCCATCCCCACCTACCGTGTCCCCCAACCCCTTGTCCCCACGTCCCCCCTTATCTCCATGTTCTCTCACGTGTCCCCA